CACCAGCTCCATCCCTGTGACCTGGGCACCAGCTCCATCCCTGTGACCTGAGCACAGCACTCACCCCCTGTGACCTGAGCACCAGCTGCATCCTAGTGACCTGAGCACCAGCTCCATCCTCCTGTGCTTTCTGATTGGAGACAATGTAACAGACTGCCTGGAACTCCTGCTGTCTGAGTATCCTCCACAATGGACTGTGCACATGAACTGTGAACCTAAACCCTTCTTCTTCAAGTTGCTTTTGCCTGACAGTCTGTCCCCAAACAAGAAAACAATCGATGCATTGACCAAAGGCTGGATCTCAGATTGCAGGCCTGTGACTGTCCAAAAGCCTGCATGGAGGTAGGGCTGTAAGACAGGTGTGAGAGTGATCACCCCATCTCAAGGACTGATGAGCCAAAACTTCATTATGCCATTTGCTAAAGCAATGCACTGAATTTAACACCGCACCATCTGAACTTCTGCCAGGGAGAATCATCTAATCAGAGAGATTGAGCAGAGTGGTTTTTGCCTGCTTGGGATGATGCTGAACTTAATCAAAAGGCATTTATTAAGTACTTAATTGCACTCAGTGCAGTTCTGGATGCCCAGAAAGAGCATTGCGTGCACCTGGCCCCTCCTCCCTAGCAATACATAATATGGAGAAGTCGAGAGACTGGGTGGAGGGGGCAGGAAGGAAGCCAGAATTTCATGAGTTCCTCAAGTGTAGCAATCTTACGCAAAGGAAGAGATTTCTTTTTCAGCGTTGGAGATTGAAGCCACTCTACCTCAAGCCCGTGAGGCAAGCATCTACCACTAATCTGTCAGCCCTCACCCTCCCTTTATAAATATCATTTTGTCCGTTTTACAGATAAGGAAAAGTGCTGGATTGCAAATTCTAGCTGAGTTTGTCGATTCCAAGGTTCTTCACTCAACATTGGTTTGCCCTGGAAAAAGGGCAGATTGACCAGAAAACAGGTGCTCAGAATAAAAGGCTTCTTTCAAACTGCAAGACATGGCTGAGGAGGTGGCTAGGCCAGGAAAAGTACTTGCCGTACAAGCTGATGGCCTGAATTTGGTCGCTGGAACCCACGGTGGAAGAAGAAAAACTGCTGTGAGTTGTTCTCTGACCTCCACACACTGTGTATCGTGCATATACCCATGCGCTCACACATTCATGAGTGCACACACACACACACACACACACACACACACACACTAATGATAGCAAATACAGATGATAATGAACTATGCAATAAGCTAGCACAGCGGCTCATGCCCATAGTCCGAGTGCCTGTGTGATAGAAACAGAAACATCTGGAGTCCAAGGTCATCCTCTCAACTGCATAGCACATTCAAGGCCAACCTGAACTTCATGAGACTCCATTTGAAAAAGAAAAGAAAAATCGAAAGAGAGAACAAAATAAAGAGAAAGATGCCATGCTGTGGCGGCATCTGTCTCTAATCCCAGCACTCAGGGGGTAGAGGCAGGTGGATCTCTGAGTTTGAGGCCAGCCTGGGCTACAGATCGAGTTCCCAGACAGCCAAGGCTGCTACACAGAGAAACGCTGTATTGAAAAACCAAAAGAAAGAAAGAAAGAAAGAAAGAAAGAAAGAAAGAAAGAAAGAAAGAAAGAAAGAAAGAAAGAAAGAAAGAAAATGAAGGAAGAAAGAAAGAAAGAGAAAAAAGGGAAAGATGGTAATGAGAGAGAGAGAGAAAGGGAAAGAAAGAGGAAGGGAGGGAAGGAGGGAAGGAGGGAGGGAGGAGGTAGCGGCCCAGGTCTGTAATCTTAGCACTGGGGAGATGGAAGTGGGAGGATCAGGAGGTCAAGGTCGTCTCTGGCTACAGAATGAATTGGAGGGCAGCCTTGGCTACACAAGACGAGGCCTCCAAAAACAAAAGAAAAAAGTCCAACAGTGTGGTGGTATTGTGTTCCCCAAAATATTGTGCACTCTAATAAACTTATCTGGGGTCAGAGACAGAACAGCCACAATATTAAACATAGAGGTTAGGCAGTGGTAGCACATGCCTTTAATCCTAGCATTCCAGAGGCAGAAATTTGTCTGGATCTCAGTGAGTTCAAGGCCACAAGGATACAGCCAAGCATGGTGACACACACCTTTAATCCCAGAAAGTGAGCCTTTAATCCCAGGGAGTGATGGCAGAAAGCAGAAAGATATATAAGGCATGAGGACCAGAAACTAGAAGCATTTGGCTGGTTAAGCTTTTAGGTTTTGAGCAGCAGTTCAGCTGAGAACCATTCTGGATGAGGACTCAGAGGCTTCCAGTCTGAGGAAACAGGATCAGCTGAGGAACTGCTGAGGTGAGGAAGCTGTGGCTTGTTCTGCTTCTCTGATCTTCCAGCATTCACCCCAATAACTGGCCTCAGGTTTGATTTTATTAATAAGAACTTTTAAGATTCCTGCTTCACAACAGCTAAACTAGAACTCTGGATTTAAGTTTTCTTATTTTTAAAATGTATTCAAATGTTTGTCTTACTTGTTATTATTCTGTGGGGTGGGGATACCCATGGCAGGCTTCTAGAAGGTCAGAGGATAACATTGTGGAGTAGCAGGTTCTCTCCTGCTCCCTTTACAGGGGTTTTGGGGATTGAACTCAAGGCCTCAGGTGAGGCTAGCAAAGCATGCACCTTCTTCTGCTGAGCCACTACGGCCTAACTTTCCTCATCCTTATGAATAAAGAATAAAAGTCAAAGATGGGCGATGGTGGCGCACGCCTTTAGTCCCTGCACTAGGGAGGCAGAGGCAGGCGGATCTCTGTGAGTTCGAGGCCAACCTGGGCTACAGAGTAAATCTAGGACAGCCAGGGCTACACAGAGAAAAAAATGTCTTGAAAACGAGACAAAACAAAAGAATAAAAAATAAAGGAGAGAGAGAAGAGATTCTTCAGGAGTGGAGGAATTGGTAAGTGACACATGCTCTGGTAAGTATGTGATCCTAAACTCATTGCACACACACACACACCACACACACACACTCTCACCACACACACCACACTCACATACACACACCACACACACCACACTCACATACACACACCACACACACTCACACCTACACACACACACATCACACTCACACACACACATTCTCACCACACACACACACACTCACACCTACACACACACCACATTCACACACACACATCACACACCACACTCACACACACACACACACACCACACACACACACACACACACACATCACAGATGTGAAAGCAGAAATGGGACTACTTGGGGAAAGGACCCCTCCTTCAGTGGGAGAAGACAAGAGAAGGCATGGGTGATACTATGATCAGAATATATTATACACATGTATGAAAATGTCATAATGAAACCTATTATTACATACAATTAACAGACTCCAGTAAAAGCTTTTTTTTTTTTTTTTTAAGAATAAAGGCCAATTAAAACTAAGGAAGAATGCTTTGAGGTCTTGGGGGTTATTTCTTTCCAGTGCCTGCAGAGAGAGGCCTCAGAGGGAGAGAAGGAAGCAACATGCTTCAGCTAGTTTTTCCAGGACATGTAGAGGCATTCTTTCCGATGGACAAGTCCAGTCGGCGTCAATGACACCTTTGCCCTCCAATTCTTCTTCACCCACAGTCCTTGAGAACTCTTCCTCTTTATTTCTTCATGAGATAGTCTCACAGAACCCAGGCTTGCCTCTAACTCATTAAAACCCTGGCCTGGAACCCATGATCCTCCTGCCTCTACCAAGTCCTAGGGCTAGAGATGTGTGCCACCAAACCCAGTTTGATTCCATAAATATAATTAAAACTCAGGTGGCAGAGGTGGCCCAGCACATAAAATGCACTAACCCAGAGGACCTGGGCTTCATTCCCAGCACCCACATGGCAGCTCACAACTGTCTCTAACTTAGGTGCCAGAGAATCCAATGACCTCTTCTGGCCTCCCTGGGCAACAGGCATGCACATGGTGCACAGATACACATGTATTCTAAAGTAAAACACTCATACACATAAAATAAAAACAATTAAAAGTAAATACTTCGTATATAAAACAAAACAACTCATCAGGTGTGACGGCACACACTCGTAATGCCAGGTGTCAGTGGGCGAAGGCCGGAGGACCGGGGATTCAAGGTCAGTTTCGGTGTACATCAAGTTCTAGGTCAGCATGAGTAACACGAGACCTTGTTTTAATAAAAAATTGAGGGCTGGCAAATGGCCCTTGCTACCAAGCCTGGGACTCATATGGTGGAAGACTCAATCTTGGACCAAGTGTGGTGGCGCACGCCTTTAATCAGAGCAGTCGGGAGACAGAGACAGGAGAATCTCTGAGAGTTCAAGGCCAGCCTGGTCTGCATGGTTGAGTTCCAGGACAGTCAGGACTTTTCAGAGAGAAAGGTGTGTTGGGGGGGGGGGGGATATGGACAGAAACAAAACCCCTAAGCCCCTAAAACATCTAACTGCTTTGCTTCTTTGTGGAGACACCTGTGAATCGTGCTATAGAAACCGGAATCCTTATTCTAGTGCGGTCCCTCTACAGGTGGAGTTACGATTTTACTGCAGTCTTTTTCCAAGTCATTGCTACAAACACTGCGCCACAGAAATAACGTTTTAAAGGGAAAGCATTTGCCGATAATGTTCAAACGGCTGCACTAGAAATTCGTCCTTTAATTGCTAAATCTCTGATCCACAGATCAAGCAACCGTTTAGGGGAGATCCACCACCAACCAACCATCCCCCCAAGAAACGCTTGGGCCAGAACGACGCCCGCCCGAGCTGGAGACTGGCGGGGGAAAGGCCACGCCCCCTGACTGCTGATAGGCTGGTTTAGACGGAGGGGCGTGGCCTTGGGCCGTCGGGGCGGGGCGAGCGCAGAAGTGGGTGTGTCCGGGGCGGGGGCGCGCAGGTCCCCGAAGGTGCGACCGTCCCGGGCCCTGGGTGCCCGGGCGCCGGTGGAGAGGTCAGGCTGGCGGGGCATCGGCCCGCGACGGCGGGTCATGGCGGCGGGCGGCAGGCTGGAGGACGTGAGTGAGGCGCCGAGCCCTGTCCCCGCCATCCCCGCTTCCTGTGCTGGGCTCAGGGGGGCGGAGACTGCGGGCTGCGAGCGACCCAGAGCCGCAGCGGCCTGGACCGGAGGGGACGCTGGGTGCGCGGGGGGTGGGGAGGGTGGGGATGGGACACGACCGCGGGCCCGGGGAGCCTTTCCGGATCAAAGTCGCCGGAGGGACGCGGCCCCGTGGGCGCGAGGGTCCCTTCGGCCCGCGGCTCACGTGCACCGCGCGCGTCTTTGGTTCCGGAACTGGGAGCCTCACGTGACGCGCGCTGGCCTGACCGTCTTTCCTGAGAGAGGCCGGCAGGCCGGTGGCGGCTTGCAAGCCCCCGGCGAGCCCGACTCCTGTCTGTGGGTCCTGTGGGTCTTCCTGCGGTGGTGGATGGAGAGAGGGAGAGAGAGAGGAGACCCGGGACCTGGAGTGGCTGTGGTGCGGGGCTGAACTCCAGCATCCCTCGGGGACGACCTGTAGCTCTCATCTCCTGGAAACCCAGATTGGAGGAAAAAAACAAAAACCAGTATCATGTGCTGTTTTGAATGTAGGCATGGTCGGAACAGAAAGGTGTTTTAATCTTAGATAGATGCAAACTTAATTGTTTTTGTTTTGTTTTTCTAAAGCACGCGGTGGCCCAGTTCACCTTGTAGCCAGTGTAGAGCGATAATACAATCGCCAAAATCTTGTTTGAAAGTTTATTAAGACACTATGATTAAATGTTTATTTGAAATTGGTTGGGGGGGCACTTTGGGAGGAAACATGCGTTTGAAAATTCCTACCCTTGAGAAATACAAGGCTGACATTTCGTGAGCACACTGACCCGAGCTAATAACTAAAAACAACATCACCATGGTCTTAGTTCTAAAGTCCGTCCAGAAAAGCAAGATTCCAGACATATCAGAGCTTAGATTCTTGTGTCCGTGGTTCCTGCAGTCTTTATTTTATTTATTTTAGACTTAACTGTGTAGCCCTAGCTGGCCTGGTACTCATTATGTAGCCTAACCTGGCCTCAAATTTGCCAAACTGTTTCCAGACTCACCCTCTTTAGTGCTGGGATAGTGGGAGTGCCCCACCACACCTAGCTAGTTAAATTTTCTTGATGAAATAAATATGTTTCTAACAGTAACGCTAGAAAAAAAAAAACTAGTTTTATTTTTCAATTGAGAAAATGGAAAACTAATACATGGAAACTTAAGACTCATGTATTAAGGCAAACCCATTTTTGAAATTTTAAGAATGAGATTTCATGGACTGGCAATTATGGAGGAAATAAATATATAAGAGGAAAAGTGAATGGTTTAGAAAAACATAAGCAGCGAGTATTTCTTGGTGCTGAGCTGCCCTGGAGTTCTGGGAGACGTCCGTTTCAGGGGTACAGTCCTGATGTTTCCTTCAGCAGACAACTGGTGATGATTATTTTGCCAACAGCTAGATAGCTGAATGACTATGGACCTGAGTAGGTTGCCTGCTTTGGGTATTTTGTAGATAACAAAGCGCACATTTAATGAGCTGTGTTGCAAGCCCAGACACTCAAGTGAGTCCGTGAACTAATGGCTCATTTATACAGACCAGGGCTTGGTGCAGATTCGGGTGAGTTAACACCCAGGGCTCTGTGAGGACCCAAACGAGGGCAGCTCAGGGTGTCTGCAGTGACAGGAGTCACTTTGGAGTCTACCCTGGGGTCAGCGTGCAGCCGTCAACTTACCCAGTGTCTGTCTTTCCTTCGTACTTCTCGGGGAGAGTAGGTTGGACAAACCATCTTTGACTAACCCCAGACCAGGAGAGGGAGAGGGGAAAGAGTTAAAGATATTCCCTCAGGGTTTTTGTTTTGTTTTTTACAGGCTCACACTACATAACTCAGGCTCACAGTAATCCTTCTGCTGAAGCCTCACGTATGCTGGGGTTATAAACAAGCATGTGCCACCATACCTGGGTCCCAGAAAGGCTTAATGCAACATTGTCATCGGGTCCCCAAAGGAAGCAGTTACTGGGGGGGTGGGGGAATGAAGAGAGAGTGTTTGGGCCAAAACAATTGGTCAGTTCTTTGGTAGTAGTAATTCACTCACTTGTAAGTAGTGGACTGGGTTGGGCCTGCTTGGTAGAGTTCATTCTTCCCTAGCTTGCACATAGCCCAGAACTCAGCACCACATAAACCAGGCATGGCAGCACACATCTATCTGTAAGCCCAGCACTGAGGAGGTAAGGGCAAGAGCATCGTAAGTTCAAGGTTACCCTCGGCCCTAGGGAGCTATAGGGAATTCACAGAAGAAACGAAGGAATAATTTAAGGTTCTGAGGATGTAGCTCAGTGTTAGAGCATTTGCTTTGCATGCATGAGGTCCTTTATTATTTGTAAAAAAAAAAAAAAAAAATTAAAAAAAAACAGACTTGTAAGAAGACAGACAAAATGGGACTAATGGTGAGTAGATTGAAACTGATTCAGAAACAACACAGAAATAGGTAGAAAGAGCAAAGAGAAAATAGAACTGCTCTAATGTTCAAAAGCTTGAAGTTGACCCGCTTGTCAGGTGACGAGCTGGGAATGACCAGGAGAAGGTGGGGGTGTGGTGTGAGAGGCGGGGAGGTGGGGAGAACAGAGGAGTGGGGTAGCCATCGAAGGGGGTTCCTGAGAGCTCAGGGCGTCAGGAAGAGGGATGGGCATGGGGAAGGCTGGAAAGCAAGGCTCACATTGAGGGCCTAGGGCTGTACTAAGCATTGTTTATGAGATAACTCATTGAATCTTCCTACCCAAGACTGGGCACAGGTGCTCTTATTAGTGTCTTTTTTTTTTTTGGTTTTTCAAGACAGGGTTTCTCTGTGTAGCTTTGCGCCTTTCCTGGGACTCACTTGGTAGTTCAGGCTGGCCTCGAACTCACAGAGATGTACCTGCCTCTGCCTCCCAAGTGCAGGGATTAAAGGTGTGCACCGCCACCACCGCCCAGCCCTAATGCCTATTTTTAAGAGGAGGAACCCGCCTCCTTATGTCCTTAAGGCTGGAACGGTTGCTGGTTGGTTAAAAGTGCATATAGTTTTGCAAAGGGCCCGCCCGGTTCAATTCCCAACACCCACATCCCCTGCCTCACAACTTTCTCTAACTCCAGCTCCAAGAGTTCTGATGCCCTCTTCTGGCCTCATTAGGCACCCCCATGCATGTGGTATGCATACATATACATAGAAAATAAAAAATAAATCTTAAAAAAAAAAACCAAAAATGCAGAAACTGAGAAACAGAGATGTGAAGTAACTTACCCACAGCCAGTAAGCAATAGGACCTGAATTTTCACTCAGTCTAACTTGGGGACCCTCCCAGAGCCACAGCTCTTACTACCTCTGGTCAGAGTTGGTCCCGCCTCCTTATGTCCTTACTGCTTCTCCCCGATGAGCAACTGATGGCCGCGAGTGAGTTGTGGAAGCCTGCAAAGATAGATGTGGAACGTACATTGATTCCTGCGCCAGTGTTTGCTGAGTGTGTGCGTAAGACAGACAAGTAAGAGGCGAGGAATTGGTAAATCCAATATAGTCTACCAGGAAAGGTGGATACATAGGAAGGCCTTGGAAAAAATAAAGAAGGGGAAAGTCATTCATGGACAGTATGACAGGGGAGTTACACATAGTGCTTTGGAAACAGAGATCGATATGGCATGCTCCAGATCTCAGGTGTCTAGGAAGGCTCCCTGGTGGGAATTGCCCTATCTGAACATATAAGCATGCTTAGACATTAGCTGAGGAGCAAACTGGCAAGGTCCCATGTTTTTCAGATAGAGAAAATGCTCAAGGAAGACAGTGTTGCGAACAGAAACAACCAGAATTGTAAGCTAGCCCTTGATACATGCTTGCTATCACAATACTCAGAGGCAAAGGCGAGTTTGCAAAGGCAAAACCACAAGTTGAGTTTAAGCTAGGGAGTTCCTGGTCAGCCAGACCTACCTAGAGAGAGCCCCTCTCAAAACACAAACAAAATCATCAGAATTGTACAGTAGATTGTGGCAAATAAAGTGGACGCTTCTAAGCGATTGAATACACAGGGCACCGTAGCAGCATTAGGTGCCCGAGTCTGAAAACTGAGCAGTACCCCAGACCTGGGTCACACTTTAGATTCCCACATGTAAATCTAGTATTGAGTTTTGACCCCAGGGCCTCACACATGTGAGCCAAGAGCTCTACCCTTGAGGTATAATCACCCCTCATATTCCTTCACTCTTTAAAAATAAGTGTGTGTGTGTGTGTGTGTGTGTGTGTGTGTGTGTGAATTTATTTTATCTATATGAATGTTAGACTGCAAGCTTCTGTGTGTGCCATATCCATGCCAGAGAAAATCAGGAGAAAGACCAGGTCCCCTGGAAGTCTGGATCTAGGGTTACAGATGGTTGTGAGCCACCATGTCGGTACTGGGAACCAAACTCAGATCCTCTAGAAAAGCAACAAGTGCTCTTAACTGTTGAGCCATGGCTCACTCCGGCCTTCATTATTCTTTTTGAGATAGGATCTCACTAACTGGCCAGCCTAGAACACACTATGTAGTCCAGGCTAGCCTTCAATGGCCCTCGATCTTATGGCCTCTGCTTCCCAAGTGCTGAGATTCTGGGCAGGTGGCACTGTCCCCGTACATACCAGTGTGCACTAAGGGTCTGAGATTGAGACGCGCCTCATTTGTATGCAGCAGAGAATGGGAAGTAATGTGACTGCAGACACAGCACCTTTAAACGTGGCTGGGATTTTTAGGTTAGCACCCAGGACTCAACTGACAGCTAGACATTTTTGTGGGGACTAATTCCTACAAACTCATGTCTCCCTAATGGTTCCACGGAGTGATGTTCCTACTGGCACTTAGAATATTTTCTGTTAAAATCAAAAGCTTGTTTTAGTCACTTTTGGAAGAAATGAGGTGGTGGGTGCTGGGGACAGACCCCAGCTTCTCAGACATGCTCGGTGAACACTGACCACTGAGCTACCCCTCCCCCCAGGCTCTCTTTAAAGCATTCTTAGTAAGGCCAATTTTCAGAGTATTGTAGAACACCAGGCAGTTTGATAATTGCATCTGTGACCTAGTGTGGTGGTGCATGCCTACAGTTCCAGTGGGTACAGGCAGGAGGATCAGGAGTTCGAGGCTAGCTTCAGCCACATAGTGAATTTGAGGCCAGCCTAGACTGTGCATGTATGCAATGTATGAACTGATCACATCTGCCTCTCACCCTTCCTCTGAGTTCACTCTTTCCCCTCAGTGGTCCCCTAACCACCTTTGTGTTCCCCTCCTCCTCCTCTTCTTTTTATATAACCCACAGAGCCTTAATTAGTTAGTGCTGTCTGCCAGTGCATGGGTGTGAGAACATCTACTTGAGTATGGTCAGTCTACCAGCAGCCATCCTCCTGAGCAAAAATGACTTTCCCTCTCTCCCTGAGCCGAGCTCTTTGGCTTGGGTGAGGCTTCCCAGTTGTGTATTTTGAAGGCTTAATGAAATAGGTTGAAGCCAGACACCGTGGCATATACTTATAATCTCAGTACATGAAGTATGGGAACTAGAGGATTGCTTTAGCACAGGAATTTGAGACCAGCCTGAGCAAAATAGGGAGACCTTATTGCGATTTAAAAAAAAATAGGTTGCTTAAATTATACCGTGTATTACTTTGTTCTGAAGTTATAGAAGTTAATGAAATAGTTGGGCATGGTGGTGTACATTTTTAATTCTGGTACTCTGGAGGCAGAGACACATGGATCTCGGTGTTTCAGGCTAGCCTGGTCTATATAGTGAGTTCTAGGACATTGAGGGCTATGTAGAAAGAGACCCTGTCTCAAAAAAAAAAAAAAAAAAAAAAAAAAGTTCTTTCATGGCTTCCAAAGCATGAGTTGGAAGCCAGTCTGGCCCACACAGTGAGTTCAAAGTCAGCACGGGGTGTAGTGAGCGTAAGACACTGTCTCAAGCCTCACAACTTTAATCCCTATGCTCGGGAGGCAGATGAACCTCTGTGAAAGACTTTTAATAAAAGTTTTGCCAGCTGGGCCATGGTGGTTGCACACCTTTAATCCCAACACTCTGGAGGCAGAGCTCTGTGAGTTCGAGGTCATCTTGGTCTACAGAATGATATGGACAGCCAGGGACACACAGAGAAACCAAATAAATAAGATAAAATTTTCAACAGCTCATGTGGCATTACCTAAAGGGTGGTGATTTTTCAAAGTCCACTTTAGGTGGGGTTGTTCTGCCTCTGATGTGTGCAATGTCTGTGCGTGTGTGCGTGTGTGTGCGTGTGTGTGTGTGTGTGTGTGTGTGTGTGTGTGTGTGTGTGTGTGTGTG